CCTTGGGGAACACCACTAGTTACCCCTCTCCATTCTGAGAATTTACCATTACATGCGTTCCCCGGAGGGAAATACTGCAGCAGTGCTGCAGGTGAAATGCTTCCATATGGGTGTGCATGGGACGAACCAAACAAACAGACATGTGGTAACATCTCCGTGCGGAGAAACAAGGAGAGGACCAGCCAGAGAAAAGAAGAGAAAAAACAGGTGGACATGAAATGAAAGGTGCAGGGGAGGCAACTCCAGCTGCTCACTCCCCCAAAATATTCCTTCCTGAACTTTATAATGTAAAATGGCTAAATGTGTCTGTTGGCAAATGGCTGGGAGAGCGTGCAACAACTCAGCTTATTCCCGCATCAGACTGACTGCAAACCCCACGCTATGGTTTTTAGGTGCTATGAGTTTCCGTTCCTTGTCCATCTTCCATCAGACGATACTGGCCTCTAATTCTTTCTAAGGGATTGGGGGGGGGGGGGAGGGGGACGACGGGACCCAGTTTGGGTCCTGTTAAAACTGAACAACCACAGCAGAGGGATATTAAGGCGATCTCTCTGGTACTCCATTAGAAACAGATGCAGGACAAGAATATCTCCTGTAGCAAGGAGAACACAGATTTTAATCAGGCTTCCTTAACACTATGCTGAAGGACTCTCACGTCCTCATTCACGGCTTTCCCGTATGCCCAGGTTGTTTTTAAACAACAGTTTCCAGTGTTGCCAGACATGTGCTGGATAAAAGGGTGCAACCCCTGAAGGCTGCAGAGTTTACGGGAGGTTTTTAATTACATTTTACAGACCACATTTATCTGTAATCGTTTTAAAAAAACAGCAGCGGCTCCAGCTCTTTCCTCTCATGCCTTGGATTTTTGGACATTTTTCATTCTACAAATATCATACGCACATGCGTTCCTCATGCAATGAGTGCACAGGGAAGCACTCAAACACAGCATCCTGCACCTAACTGGGAAGGGTTTAGTTGTGGAATCAGCTTAATCAGCCAATTCCCAGGGAACCAGTTTATCCTAATGATACTCATTGACAATGACTTGCTCAATTAGGATGGTAATTTCTTGGATGCATGCAGGTAATTAAGCAGCTGTTAAGGATCTCTGCCCAGTGACGTGCTGTAGGGGGCCTCGGAGGGATCCTGCATTAACATTCCACAACCAAATGGAAAGGAAGATTTTTGGAGTAATATCCCTGCATCTGATGGAGTCACCTTCTCTGGGCACTGCCACAGCATCCCTGCCAGAGAAGATTTACCTATCCTTGGAGATCACAGAGACACTTGAAGAGCACCAAAACCTCCCCGCTCAAATAAATGTTGAAGTCCAGATTGCTCCAGGAATGAGGTATTTTCAGAAGATACATACAAATACAGGACAGGCATTTCCAGAACACGTGCCCAATATAATGTTGCACTGCATCCCTCCCTGGTTCTGGGGCAGAGAATGCGGTTTTGTTTAAACACGAACCCAATCATGTCCCTTCTTCTGTTCCTCGCCCTCCTCTCTGCAACATACGCACCCCAGGGCCAAGGCACTTATCACAGGCTGAGAGGGACCATTTTTGTGGCAGCCCCATGCTAATGGCACCTCACTGGTCCGGCCCTCATGAGGCTGACAGAGCTGCGTCTCCCTCCAAGTATCTGCACTACCATACGAGTTGGAACCAGGGTGCGGCCGCGGCTTGAAGTAGTAACAACCACCCAAATACATGGTTTCCGCCTTCTGCGCCTCCACTACAAAAATGGTTCCAGCACCACAGTGAACTAGTGCTGTCTCAGCATAGCAGAGCTGCTCTAATTCCCCTTCCTGGGCCTTTTTATGTTCAAGTGAACTCTCATCAAGCTCACAGCATTACAAGGTTCTTCAGAAACCTGGTGGAACTTTAATTCTCTACCTTGACTTTATCTCCACTCAGGGGAAGTGGCTTTGATCCTTTGTCAGCGGCTGGCCTTTGTTCCCTGTAACTCTTTAGTGATCCAGCAGCTTTGACAAGAGCTAAGGAAAGCCACTGGAGACATTAATTTCAGCTACAATTTGAAGTCTTCTCTTAACTGGGAAATCCACATAATTGGCACGATAACAGCCTGCTGGAACAGCCCGATTTACAGGGTTTTACCAAGCCACGTAACTAGAATACACTGGGCCGCAGGCTCTACTCAGAGGCACAGCTTCAGCTTCCAATGAAGCCAAAAGGAGATGTATGCAAGCATCCATGGACAGAACTGGACCCACAATAATCACATGTTCCTGCAAATTCCTTAGGGCCAGCTTTTACAAACACACACACAATAAGGGGGGGGGAGGGGGAGAGAAGAACAAAAACTCACACCACATTACAGCAAGAGGCAGCAGGGAGGAAACCCCATGTGAGGATTTCCTCAGATTGCTGCATGGCAGACGGGGATTTCCCCCCTTATCCATTCTCTGTAATGAGCATTCCACACCAGACCATGTGTTCTGAGAGGATGTACCAGAGACAAAATGTCATCCAACACAGAGGCCCAGGGCCTGTCCACCATCTCAGGACCACCAGCTCCATGGAGACCTGCTCTGAGAGAGTCTGCTGCCTGCGACTACCCCACAACACCTCCCTGAAGATGCAATTCCAAAGCACAAAGGGAGTCTAGCTCCTGCCAGGGTAACTCACACCCAAGTATTCTCTATAGAGCCAGGGAAGAGAAAGATGCGTGACTCCCTGGCCTCCCTCTCTACTCCCCATGGGGGGGGGGGGGGAGTCTGGATCCCTGTGACAAGGAGAACTTCATGAACCCTCACACTAATTACCATGCAGAAAACAGCAACAGAGGGTCCTGTGGCACCTTTGAGACTAACAGAAGTATAGGGAGCATAAGCTTTCGTGGGTAAGAACCTCACTTCTTCAAATGCAAGTAATGGAAATCTCCAGAGGCAGGTATAAATCAGTATGGAGATAACGAGGTTAGTGCAATCAGGGAGGGTGAGGGAAAGGAAGAGGATATCTGTCTGTATTTGTGCAAGTTTCTTCATGAGGTTGATAGATTTCCATTCCATACGGCTAAATGCAGTGCCTTGCATGGTGTCAAGTATCAGAGGGGTAGCCGTGTTAGTCTGAATCTGTAAAAAGCAACAGAGGGTCCTGTGGCACCTTTGAGACTAACAGAAGTATTGGGAGCATAAGCCAGAGAAGATTTACCTATCCTTGGAGCTCACAGAGACACTTGAAGAGCACCAAAACCTCCCCGCTCAAATAAATGTTATTTTCGAATAAACGCAATTTAAACACACACTGTAGTATTTCCCAGAGCACTCTCTCGTGCTCATTTTTCACTCCATCCTGTTGAGATGCACTGCGTATGCCTTGTCCAATATCAAAATCATTCATAAAAGGAAGATGGTTGAAACTAAGACTAGGTCTACACAGCAGCTTATGCTGGCCTAATTTATGTTGCCCAGGGGAGTGAATAAACCACCCCTCTGAGCAACATACGTTACACTGACATAAGCGTCGTGTGCACAGCGCTTCTCCCACTGACATCACTACTGCCACTCGTGGGGGCTGGAGGAGTTAAGCCGACAGAAGAGCTCTCCCCCCCATCGGCTTAGAGTGGCTACATCAGAGAGCTTACAGCGGCACAGTTATACCGCTGTAAACTCTCTAGTCTAGCTGTGCCCTAAGTCTACCATTTTCAAACAAGCAGCAATAACAATTGAAACCAAACCTGTCAGAGATCTCAAAACCCCTTCTAGAATTCAATGACCCATCTCCCACCAGCTGCTCTTTTGCCATAAATACAAATGTAGGCATTGGACACCTTCACTATCTTCCACGCAGACACAGACACAGGAGAAAAGTAAAAATACCCGCTCCTTAGCATCATGCGTTACCTACAGACTATACTAGTCTACTGCACCCTGTCAATGACTCTTCCCCCTGCTGCCAAATAGTTTTTGCTTTCCTTGTATTCAGTAACTTCCTTTCTACTCTTGATGGTCCCTTGCCTATTTCCCACTCCACACGATCACCTCTATCAATCTGTGACTCTTCTCTCCACAAGTAGCTCCCAAAAATAGGACTTGATAACCAAAATTGAATCATATTTGTAATTCTTATTTTGTATTGGCAGGTTCCATAAAAGATAGCAGAGATGGGTGGAGGAGAGGGTTAACTAGTATTCTTTATTATCTGTATAGCACCAACAGGGTACTAAGTGCTTTACAGACTGGTACAAAGGAGCCCAAAATCTGCTCCCCCACACAATTAACACTGACATAAATGCTTTCGAGATACGCCTGATTTATACCAGTGGGAGAGTAGAACCTGACCCAAACAACTTCAAGTCTACACAGACTACAAAGGAAGGAAAGAGGAACTGGAAGGGTCAAGGCAAGCTCTAATTTTAGCTGTAAATTTGCATTCTACACAAAACTTCACACAACCCAAACGACTACCCATAAGAACTAAAAACTAACCACCACAGGAGTTTTCTATTGGCAACGTAAGAACCACCATCCCACTTATGCTTGTTTTAGCGTATCTTGACCGACAGACTGCCCCGACAAGTTAGCACGGCTTCTTGGAAGGCAAATGCCTAGTTTTATTACATGCAGTGGTGTTGTAGCCATATCGGTTCCAGGATATTAGAGAGATAAGGTGGGTGGGTAACCTCTGGACCCGCTTCTGTTGGTGAGAGAGTCAAGCATGTAAACTCATAAGCTTCTCTCTGACCAACAGAAGTGGGTCCAGTAAAAGAGATTACCTCACCCACCTTGTCTCTCTAGTCTTATAACAGGAACATGAAATGAAGACTAAATGTAACATGACTTATGTGTGGGGAAAAAAGCAGTAAAGTGCCTCAAAACAATACAGAAAAGAAAGGTAGCATGCGTCACACTCTGCCCTTCATTTAGTGTAGCCTGCAGGCATCAGTTACGCTGATGGTTCCTCGGTCTGTGATTTAAGCCATGAAGGTTTTTTCCCCCCTTCAGTTTCGAGGAAGTATTGAGCCCAGCTTACCTGCACGTTCTCTTCCGTGACCTCTATTTCAGCTGTGTAGATGTAATCAATCAGCTTACTCAGTGTTTGCCCATCAACGTCTTTTATTTCAATCTTCTTTGCTTTACTTTCAGTCATGTCTCCTGAAATTCAGTTCAAATCGGCATTCAATGTTTGTTTGCTTTTCTCCTCCCCTCCACTTCGATTCCCCGTATGTTCAGTGGAAACTCTCCCTCCACCCCCAATTAAAAAACATATTGAAAGCCCTGAACCCAAAATCACTATCCCTGCAGGTCCAGGATGACTAGAAGGTGGCACTAATGGACTTCTGCCAAACATCAGAGGGTGATATCATGAGGCAACGAGAGAGACTCAGGGTGTGTGCGCAGTTTCACAGCCCAAGAACTGCAATGGGGGAGATGTACCCCAAGAATAGCATGCCTACAATGGGGTAGTCTTCTAGCAGCCTCTTCTCCTGAGGCTTCCAGCACAGTTCTGCAGACTGAAGAGATTGGCCTGGTTCAAATACATTTCCCCATGAGCTGGGTGCTTGAAGAGAACTTCCTGAGATTCACCCAAGCTCAAATGTATATGAGAAAACAATAGGACATGATTAACTGCTCTCATATAGGGCTAAGCACAGAAGGTGACAAAGAAGTTTTCCTTTGCTAGGCTATAAGAACTAATTATGGGTGAATCTCCTGAGGGTCTCTTCCCACAAACTGGGAAACTATGAAAAATCTCTGCAGAAACCACCACTCCTTCGCTAGCATTTTTTTTTTTTGGCCAAGGGACAGTCATATCTGGAGGGACAGGCCAAAGGAAATCTAAGGTTAACTTAAAAAAAAAAAAGTGGCAAACAACAAGAGACTCCATTGGAGGTAAACCAAACCTGTATCTGCTCAGCCTACGCGTGCATACCGCAGTGTAGCTGACTGAGCTTGATTAGAAACTGTGTGTGTGTGTGTGTGTGTGTGTGTGTGTGTGTGTGTGTGTGTGTTGTGTT